TATATTTATTTTTTTTTTTTTTTTTACTTTTCAGTCTTTTTTTTTTGGCACAAATTACCCATAAAGGAAAACCTGCTTAATAATTATGCACATCTGAGTATAAGACTTTTTTTTTTTTCAGTCCTTGATAACAATTATATATCACTTATAAATGATTTAATGATATAGTAGTTATTAAGATTGCTGTGGTTTGGTATTGCTAAAATGTACTTGGAAAAAGAAAATTTGACCAGAATATCAAATTGCATAATTATGCATGCACTGTAATGTAATGATAAAGAAACAGTGCTTTATCCCTTACATAGAACATGTAAGAAAGTCATTTTTATTTCTTTGACTATTTTTTCCCCTTTTTTTTCCTTTACAATGTTCTCATGTCCATAGAATCGAACGTCTGTGGCGTGACCTAAGGGTCTGTGTCACCTCCAAGTACTCTGAAACACTACAAAGCCTGGAAAGAGATCACCTACTTGATTTATCCTCTGCAAAGGACATTTTCTGTGTCCACTGTATATTTCTACCTAAACTAAAAAGAGACTTGGAGACTTTTGCTGCAGGCTGGAACAACCATCCTCTCAGAACAGAGGGAAATTTGAGCCCAGAGCGGAAATGGTACATTGTGTAGATAACTTGACTACTTAAATTTGTAAGGGAATGAATTATTATTAATTCATTCAGGTTTTCACGTCTAGATCCCGTGTTGCGGGCCTGAGGGCACTAGTTAATTTACTCATCCTTTTCCTGCTGGATATACTAGTTCTATTCATTGCTGGTCACAAGACATCGTGGGTTTTATATGTTGTGAACGAACCTTTTCAGTCCTTGATACAAAGAAAGCTTTGTTGTCTCTTGATTGGATCAATCTTTAATCACTCCTCTGAGTAGATGACGACACGACTGGCAGGAAGTCACCCCAGAATATTGGAGTCATGTGCTGGGATGATTAGCAAACCTCCTGATGGCTGATAGGAGCATAGCAGTGTCCGTTCATGTATTAAGAAATCCCTACAATTGGAATGCTGCACATACAGATTGATCAGCCAAAGAATCTTGAGGTTGTTCTCCTGTTCACTGATGTTTTTTCATTACAAATAAAGTGCAATGGCATGTGTCTCCTTTTAATCGATGTGTTCTGTTATTCTATCCTGCTGCAAAATAGGATATTCAAGATCCGGACATTGACTGGGAAGTAGCAGCAGACTACCATGGAGAAAATGTGGATGGTGCAGTATTGGTCCCAGAGTTTGAGTGTCCCTTGAATGAGGAGGAACTGGCAGAGCTCAACACTCAGACACCAGAGTGATCCCAACACTCCACTTACAGACCTTTATGTACTCTGCCGTGAGTATGTGGCTGGCAGATGCAACCTCTAGTGGAACTAGAGGACTACACCTTCAGTGGAACCCTTGGCTTTAGTGTAAGAGTTTTCATTTGCATTTGAACATACAAATGTTTTAATTGTACAAATTTGTACATGTACTAATTTTTAAATTACATTTTATTTAATTAGATTATGTAGCCTACAGTTGTACATATGAAGAGTTCCAATGCAAAAGCCTCTAAAAGCCATCTTGGTCAAAAATGCGATAACGATACTGAGTGAATACTCTCCACACATAGTATATGTTCATCAAGTACTTTAACTTCAAATGAGCTAAATCCCAGCCTCAACCCATTCAGATGTACCAGTACTTACATAGAAACCTATACATAGTAGCCAAAAATAAATGCTAACTTTAAAGAAAAATGTCAGATGTACTTAGAGGCTTTTGCATCTGAACTCTTCATATGTACAAATAGGAATGAACTATGCTACAGTTTAGGTGCTTTAGAGTTTTTCATGTCTCCATCAATAAATACTTTTCAAAAAACTGTACCTGCAAACATCAATGCTCTCATAACAATTCATTTAAAGAAATGTGTTTTTCATCTTAACCTTAAAACCTTTGCATACTTCAGGTTTTATTGCAAAAAAAAAAAAAAAAAAAAACCCTGCAGAATTATTTTGCCTCCAGGTGAATGTTTTGAAAAAAAAAAAAAAAAAAAAAAAAAACCCTGCAGAATTATTTTGCCTCCAGGTGAATGGAATTTTGTGAAGACGTCAGTGTTGTGTTTACATGTGTGGACGTGAGAGTCTGTAAGTGCGGCTTCTTGTTTAATTTTAGTGATATAAAGAGTTTTTTTTATTATGTTATCGGTGTTTATCTGCTGCTACACTACATTGTTGATATGGATATGATTTCTTAGGAATAGGACAGACAAATGATCATCATCATTATCAGGATACTGGATGCTCAAGGTAAGTGTCTTGATTTAGCCCAGTCACTACAGGACATGGTTATCTACATGCAGTTACAGTCTTCAGTTGTATCATATTTGCTTCGATTAGATCACATTTCCCACGAGTACTGTACAGTACTAAATGTACTGTGGCTGACAATGACCAATGCCATTTTACAAGAGCGCTGTCAAGCACTGCCTGATTCGCTGCCCAGAGCGCTGTCTACTTTGCCAATGTAAAACCTTTTACCATAAAACTATGTCCAGAATTGAGATATAATATAACAAGATGACATTTTCGAGCTTTTTTTGCACTTCTGCTTTAATTCTATGTACTTCTATTTGTGTTATTTATTGGTGTCTTTGACAGTTCTGTATTAATATATTTTTCTATCTTTCAAATCATTGCAAGATTAGTAGAAAACGAGATATGGGACATTATTCGATTTAGAGGGGTATTAAGACCTAATTTCTTATAAGTAGAATAAATGAATGGTCAGTTCTTATAGGGGAAGTCCCATACTATATGCACACCTCATATGAAACCATTTTACTCCAGCATTTTGAGATATGGGACATTATTACACTTTATGGGGCTATAAAGACCCCATTTCTAATAAGTAGAAAAAAAAACAATAGTCAGGTTGTAAATGGGACATCCCATATATGCACACCTCATATAAAAAGATTTTACTGCAGTGTTTTTGAGATATGGGACATTATGAGGGGTGACCCCAAATAGTCGACGATTCGGTGCTTCGATAGGAGGAGCCTAATTCGACTACCAATCTCACAGTCTACTCTATCAGCATAGCTAAAATGAAGTCTGTACTGCATCCGAATACAACAAATACAACAAAACGCTATTTAACCAAATAAGTAGAACCACTGACTATTTTTTTAAAAGGCACATAATACAAGAGGGGTACCCAATCCTGTTTCAGGAGATTTACCTTCCTGCAGAGTTCAGTGTCAGTCCTGCTATAGCAAACCTGTCTGTAACTAATTTTCCTGACTCTTAATTAGAATAGGTTTAGAGCTGAACTTTTAGTGAGATCTCCAGATGCAAGACTGGGCATATGCAGTGTATTAAAAACGAAGTCAAAGATTTTGCCTGTGATTTATTTTTTTCAGTTTCAAAGACATTTTATTCATTTCAGTTTATATTTTTATTTTTCGTAAGTTTCTTGAAAAATTATGTTCATTTTTAAAGGTACAAAAATAATCCCATACAGGTGGCAGACGTTAAAGATACCTTGTGAAATACTAAATTAATTAATTATTAAATGGTAAACACAAAATCATTAAATGGTAAATGCTGTCATAACAATCTTAGAACCTTTGTTACTTGTTTCAGGTTTTGCTACTACACATCTAAATTACTAACAACATTACAATCTAGTGTCGACCAAATTCCTTGCTGTTGTTTATTACCTGTGACATTATGTCTTGAAACTCCTGGTACGTTCCCAAGTGTTTTGTTGGGAACGTGATGGACACCGCACAAGCATTGATGACTGGATAACAAATTATGTGATCGCCATAACGTGCATCACAGTCGTGGTCAAACTCAATGCAGATTTTAGACTCCTTTCTCTGAGTTTCAATCAGTGGGATGTGTGCTTGGCCTGTTAGCCACTGAAAGAATTTGCATATGGTGATAAAATCAGCACTTCTGTTGCACATTCCCTGTTTTTCTGCAGCAGCAAGTTCTTCTAATCAAGATTGTAAAAAAAAAATTAACAACAGTATTTTATCAGTAATTAAAATGACAAATTAATTGATTTGTTAAATGTTATTCCACTCACCTTCATCCTCCAACTTTTGAATAAAGTCCTGCAAAAAGTTGATGATGCGGCACTCCCTGTGGCGCCTTAGTGATCCTTCCTCACTGAATATTGGAGTCATGGCAAGCTCTAGGAATTCCGCGTCAACCTAAATAGTTTAGGAGAGAAACTTGTATATTAACAAGTGATACATCAAAAGACTTTCTCCAATAAAAATGGTTGCACATTTAAAAACTTTTTGCAAGTGTCCAGGTACAAAGAGCTGCTGGCAGGTCTCACTGTGTTCTGTGAGTAAGTCATGGAAGCTATACAGCTTCAACCCATCACAGACCTGCTGTAACATTGGAATTATCCAGACTGCTGAGTGCAGAGCGATGGCACTATATAGAAAATAGACAAGAAAAAAATGTGCAGAAATGAAGAACTGAAAATTTAAACCACTGCATGCACTGAGTTCAATTACATACTCTGTAATGGCCTTCTTCCACTCACGGATAATGGGCCCAGTATACCCGCTTGCTAAAATTCTGTCAGACAGGTCTGCTATTGTATCTGTGCCTGCAGCATCAACCTGAAAATGAGACAAATGTCCTACTGATACAGCTGTGAGGACTTAGAGAAGGCTGTAAGTCTGTTTTTAGTTCTAACATTCAAAATTAAATACTACAAATAGTATATAAATACAGACAAATGTTTCTATACAACCCATGTTAATTAAAATGTTTGGTTCCATAGAAGACATCCCAATGCAGCAACATGTGCATGAAGAAGATTACTACTTACTCCTTTCTTTTAAATGAGTAACGTGACCACACAATGCAGTAATGGGTGTATCTTAATGTGTTGGAAAACCTGATCAGGAAGCTCTATGAGTTCTGGATCGGTGACATTGTCTTTGGACATTTCATTCTTGTCTTGTTCCTGTGCAGATGTAGTCATAGCACCATTTTTTTTTTTTATTCGGTGCGGGGCCCCCTTGTGCTACACTCACTGCGAAGATCTCCCCACAAGTCCTGCAGTAACAGAAGTGAATATGTTACAGTTTTTTTCAACTGCTTACACACATTTTCAAAACTTTACACACAAATCCAAGAACTGCACACACAAAATGCCTCACATATCTTGCAAAATGAAGCACTGCATTCAAAATATCAAAAACACATCTCAAATGCAAACATTTGTCTTATGTTGCAAACACCTTTGCCATAATATTATATTTTTGAATATATCATACATACACAGTTATTCAAAACCTAAAGCTCTTCTTTCATGAGCTCCTATGTACATTTCTGTACAATATTGAAAGTAATTGGCAGAGAGATCTTGAAAACGTTATGGTAAGATTGCAAGAAAGCAAGATTAAAACTAAACTTTTTTTTTTTTTTTTTACTGTAAGCATTTGTGGTTGTGAATGCAGTATTACACAGTATGACAGAAAATAAATACATCAACCATGTGTAGTTGGACATGCACGCGTGTGTTTGTTGGTGGGCGAGATGGTTGGGTCTATTGCACATTGTTTGCATCCATTGTTCAAAACCTATAACTTGACCTTTGGCCTATTTATAGGCCTGCTCTATAGTCATGATTGGTTGGTGTTAAGTAAAGCAATGAGTGTTTGCACATGTGAGTAGTGTGAGGCACTGATGAATTAGTGTGAATTTTGATTGGTTGTGTTTGAAAAAGGAAATCAAGATGATTTTTGTTTGTTACACAGAGAATTGTGTGTTGTGATTTGCAAGAAGTGTTTTATGAAATTGACAACTGAGTTTGGTGTGTTCTTCTGCTGTTTGAGTGTCAGCTTTCAGAAATTGTGTGACAAGTAAAGAATTTGTGTGTAAGCAGTTGAAAAAACTGTAAGCATATTGAAGCAACATAAGTCATGAGTTAATGGGGAGTGTTTTACTGAAATGTATGTATGTACATGTATACATATGTGAGTGTGTGAAAATTCTGTCCTTAATTACTCACCCTCATGTCGTTCCAAACCTGTTCGGAACACAAATTAAGATATTTTTGATGAAATCCGAGAGCTTTCTGACCCTCAGGGCCCAGAAAAGTAGTAAGGACATCCTTAAAATAGTCCATGTGACATCAGTGGATCAACCTTCATTTTACAAAGCTACGAGAATACATTTTGTGCACAAAGAAAACAAAAATAATGATTTTATTTAACAATTCGTCTCTTCCATGTCAGTCCGCCGCTATTATAGAGAGTACCACGATGCATATGTGTGATGCTGCTGTCGTAGAATGCTCTGCCTTGTTTACAAGCAGAGGAACGCACACGCATGCGTAGTGGTTTGGAACAGTAATGTAATGACAGAATTATTATTTTTTGGTGAATTATGCCTTTAAATACTACCTACTTGTAGTGATCTTTCTGATAGTCAGTACTTCTGGGTTTTTCCATTGTCTCCTCCTTCAAAGAGCTGAGCCTCAATTCCTTTCAGCATTTCTGTTAAAATGGAAATTCAGCAAACCAAATTACAAAATTCAGTAGTACCTTACACTGAAGCAAACTAACACATACCAGTTAGGAATTATTTTCGGAGAGCTCCATTGCCAATCCCATACTCTCCTAGGAAATTAACACTAAGTGTATTCTTTGGAGAAGATTTTTTTTTGCCGTTTCCATTGTAACATGCCCCTCTCAAACAGTTCGCCTCTCGTAACACTGATGTTAAATGCAGATGTGCTGTCCACCTTGTCAGCAAGCTGTGTGATTATGTCGGATAAGCTAAAAGACCAACCAGAAAAGGGAACAATGAGCAACAAAATGCAACAAATACCTTTGTAAGAAATCTTACAGGTTAGTCAGGTGCCATTTTGCATTTTACCTTCTACATGGTTTCTCCTCCCTTGTCTTTTCCTTGTTTTTGTCAGCACCCTCCCATTCAGTCTCCTTTTCAAATTCCCCAACAAGGCTGCAGCGACAACACAAACTCTGAAGTTGCTTTAAGTGACAGAAGTTCAAAATATATTTAGTCATTAAAATTGTGACAGACCTTTCACCACAACAGCTTGCATGTATTTCAACATACTCTTTAGGATACCATTCTGAGCAAACTGGACAAGCAACCTATAAACGTGTACAGACAGGTGACACAAAGGAACATTTCAACACAAAAAATATAATGATATACTATATAAATATACTAGGGCTGTCAAAGAAAATAATTAATCACACATTTTTCTGTAATTAATCATGATTAATTATTCTGTCATACTTTTCACATTGAATCTCCAAATTAATGTAGAAACAACATAAAGACAATATGTTTTAAATTGCTTTAGTGGCATCTTTTTACTAAGTAGACTATTATTAATGAAGGCCAGTATCATTGATACCAATACTACTACTGATGTCTCTATTAAATGCATTTTCCCCTCAATTTTAGATATTAATTATAGCCATTCAACATTACAGTATAATTGAAAGCCATTATTTTTAAGATTTAATAGACTTAAATATAACAACTTTTAATTTATGTGATCTTCACATAAACTATAAATTGTAGCCTATATGCATAAATTATAAATTTAATATGATTAATCTTTATTCAAACTACAAAAGTTAATCAGCGAAGATCAGAGAGTGATATCTGTTTTCCATTTGTTCTGTGATTTACATCAGATTTCATTTAAAAAGCCGGGTTGTCTCTTTAAAAGCTGACGCACATGATGCGGACCTGACACACATCCAATTTTCTCTCAATTCTTTACATCATTTAGGACTTTTTAACTTGTTTAATTTTGACAGACCTAAAATATGCTTAAATACGCTTCTTTTAGAAACAAGTATGATTATATAAATGCGATGAAATCAATAAGTACATTTCCTTCTAATTAAATTAGTGCAACACATTAAAGAGTGACTAAAATGTTCCCAAAATAGTAGTATAAATGTTTTCTTACCTTAACATCCACCAGAGATGAGGATGCTGATGGAGTCTCATTTAAGGATGCCTTTATTTTGAATGGGATCATTACAAAAGCGTGGTTACTTATTAAGAACTAAAATGTACACAAAATATGGCTAAGTAGTGCAAATCTGTCCTTACCGTCACATCCACCTGAGGCTTAGCGACTGTTGGGGGCTCATTTGAGGATTCCTTTATTTGGAATGAAATCATCATAGAAGAATGGTGAAAGGAACATTCAAAAGAACATTTCAATCCTACACTAAGAGCTTAACATTTTTTTCATAAATAAACACTGTTATTTTCAAGAACAATAACCTACAATGGTATTTGCAAAGGCTGAAAAAACATAGCTTTAGGAGGCACATTATTGAGCTTACATTTATGGAGCTGTCCAATTCATCTGATTCGTCCAAACTGGACTCATCATCAGAGAGTACCTGTAAAATGTAATGTCCAAGAAATACTGTAGAGAAGTTTTGAAGAATGAACCAGGAAGTAAGTCTGTTTATAATATACCTTACCTTACATTCTGTGGAGCTATTTTGCTCACATTTGTCAATGTGAAGTGCTAGCAGTTGGACAGGCACATAAACCTGACAGTTGATGCATTTGGCTTTAGGCATTTTCTCAAATTCTTTCGCCGTCATAGGTAATGGGGAGGTGTCTAATCTCTGTTGAATTGGCATTATGTAAAGGCATGCCTTTCCTCCTGCTGCCTTTATTACATATAGACCATTATAGCCCTCTGCATCAGGTGCCACCACCGTCAATGATCGTTGCCCGGATCCCCCTGTTTGGACAAAATACAAATTTTGCCAGTTGTATTCTTGATATTGAAGACCACATTAGATATAAAGCACAAAATACATTATTGCCCCCCAACACTGCACACTTTGCGTGTGTCCTTAATTAAACACACCAGGTCATCAGCTTATTAGTAAAGGCTGCATATTAACAAACTTGGGTGTGATTTTTCTTTTCTTACCAGCTGCTTTGTACAGCATCCATGCACCATCTAATGCTGCCATTTTGGGGAACACTTCACAGAGGAGGGCCAAGATCTGTAAAAAAAAAAAGTAATACAAAGAAAAAAAAGTAATACGAAAGTACAGTGCAGACAGAGTTAGAACATAGCTTTAACATTCCTATCTGATTATCAACATGCCTTTTTAAAGGAACAGATCTCCCTAAAAATGGTACTGTAGTTTATTCACCCTCATGTTATTCCATAGCCTTATGACTCTTAATCCTCTTTGACACACAAAATAATATTTTGAATGTCTTCTGAAGAGAAACAATTGGAGTGTATGAGAAAAATACAAATATTTTTAACTTTTTTTAAACCTAAAAACCACTGCTTCCAGCCAACTGTCATATGAATTAGCGTTTGACCTAAATGTCAGCATGTTGTGAAGCATGACGTAAGCATATTGTGAAACTTGTGTGAGAAGTGATGCAGACGCACAGTAAGGCATGGACTCATAGCAGTGGTTTTTAAAAAGATCAAAATATTTCTGTCATCACAACTATCTTGAGTATTTTAGCATGGTAATATACAGTACATGGCAATGTTAATGCCAATATATGCATGCTGCTGAGTGTAAGAATATAAACTGCTGCATCCTGCACGGACGTGCATATTAAATATATACTATATTAGATATAATATAATATAGCATATATTAGATATTGTACGTCTATAATAATAGTATATGTTACATATTGTACATATATACTGGACGTCTATATTATATATTGTGTTTTTGCTATTTTGTACATTGTCTATTTTGTGTATTTGTATATTATACTTTTTATTATCTGTGTCCTGTCGTAATGTATGTTGTTCTGTGTCAGCTGCATCACGCCGTATCTGTTTCCTACGTTGTTATGATTTGATCTGAACGAAAACAGCTTATCCGTATGACGCAGCTAAATCACAACAACGTAGGAAACAGATCTGGCGTGACGCAGCTGACACAGAACAGCATACGTCCAGCGGATATTCTCCAAAATGGCACCAGGGTGATGCGGAGGAGACGAATTGTTGAATAAAGTCATTATTTTTTTTTGCGCACAAAAAGTATTCTCGTAGCTTCATAGTTGCACGCAGTAGTTTTGGTCGCACTGTAGAGCCCTGATACAAGTCTCAGGTGTTCCCAGAATGTGTCTGTGAAGTTTCAGCTCAAAATACCCCACAGATAATTTATTATATTATTTTGAAAAATGCCTATTTTGAGTGGAAGCAGAAACAGGCTGTGTTCGTGCATGTCTCTTTAAATGCAAAAGAGCTGCTGCTCCCTGCCCCCTTTTCCAGAATAGGGCTGTGCCTTTACAGCTCATACCTCAGATACTCTGCCAAAAAACATCTGTTTGGTTTTGATTATCATGTCTTGTTGAATTGTCGAATTGTTGAATAAAGTCATTATTTTTGTTTTCTTTTGCACACAAAAAGTATTCTCGTAGCTTCGTATAATTGCGGATGAACCACTGATGGATTATTCACATGGATTATTTTACAGATCTCCTTGCTACGTTTCTGGACTTGGGAACATTTCAGTTGCGTTGCTGTCTATGCAGGGTCAGACAGCTCTCAGATTCCATCAAAAATATCTTAATTTGTGTTCCGAAGATGAAGGTCTTACGGGTTTGAAACGACATGAGGGTGAGTAATTAATAACAGCATTTTCAGTTTTGGGTGAACTAACCCTTTAAATAATTTCAATCAAACTATATTTCTATATTCAAAATTTTATATGTAAAACATTAATCTCATAACATTGTTATGAATTTAAAACATCCATGCCACCTCTGAGCTTCTTTAAATCTCTGTAAATATACCTACATGCCACTTTTGTGTTCTTCTGTGCCACCTTTGTAGAGGAAATGAATTTTGTCATTATTGATTTATTTTGATTGGTAACTTATTACCAATCAAACTGTTTTAACGATGCCCCTACTACGTTTCTGTAACTTGATCGTGGTAGGACCCTTGCTGTCTATGGAGGGACAGAAAGCTCTCGGATTTCATCAAAAATATCTCAATTTGTGTTCCGAAGATGAACGAAGATCTTACAGGTTTAGAATGACATGAGTAATTAATGACAGAATTTTCATTTTTGGGTGAACTATCCCTTTAAAGAAATGCTGGATGAGTGGTCATTATATAGAGTTTCTATTGAGGATGGTCATTATGGGGGAATAATTGACCTTGCAACATCGCAACAGACAGAATCAGGCATTTCAGTGAGCCATATAATAATTTTTAAGGCACAGTTCATTTCCTCAAATACTTCCTAACCTGGCCATATTCTGTTGAACCTGCTGTGCTCTCCCAGCCCCAAAGCTCCCGGGGCCCGAAAGGCTTCCTCTCTGAGCCTACATTTCATCTACATAATGAATTAATATACAGGTTGATGAGTAGTGGTTGGCCATTGCACTACCACAATAACATGCTCTTTAACTATATCACTAGTTGTCTCTACACTTACCATTTTGTGAAATCCTGAGGTTCCCTTCTGCATTTCCGTTGGAAGGACCTGCATTCAGGGTATCTCTCAGCAGGTTCACTAAACGCCTTGCTGCATTCTGTATTTCCACCTATGTTCAGATATTATCAAAGATAGAAAAAAAATGGGCTGAACCCCGGCACATAGGCTTACCCTGGTAACTCATCAGAGGACTTTCCTCGTACATTTTCAACATTATAGGCTATAGTTTTAAACACTTTACTGTTATGAGCCTAAGTCATTTGCTCGTTGTTTCCATTCTGCCCTCTTGTGTTCTCTCTGTGTATGTGTATGTTTGGGTTTCAGATGGGTGGTTCCTTGAGATAATTTGTTGGAGGCTGCGATTGGTTCTCCTCCACACCTGACCCAGATATAAGGACTGCCCCAAACACTCAATCGGGGCCATGATTGTGCCATCGTGTGTGATTCTGTAGTTTGCCTTTGTGCCTTGCTGTCATTGTTCGTTTAAGTCTTTGAGTGTCTTACCAGAGAGATAGTGTGTGGGTGTTTAGGATTGTGAGTGTGATTGCAATTCTGTGATAGCTCTGTGATATTATTTTCTGTTTCCATTCTGTGATATTCCTTGTTAACTTGACCCATGCCTGATTGACTACAATTTTGGATTCCGATTGTGAATTGTTGGCTGTTAACTTGTATATATATTTTGTAAATATGTTGTAAATAAGTTTTGGCAAATTGAGGGATGTAGGGGGTTAGATGCCATTTTATTTTTAAACCTCTTTTCACATTGTTTTTGGTTGAGGGAGGCAGGTAAGTTGAAACTGTATATTTGTTTTCTTTAATTTTGATTTAGGAAGTGTAGAGTTTTAATAAAAAGGATAATTTTTGTTTGTTATTTTGGCTTTGTCTGCCCCTGACGCTAAACCCTTATTTGTAAATAAATTCTTGTTGTTCAGCATCTCCCTGGTATTGAGGCTCTCTTCCTTTTTCCGGTTCAGGCTGACCCCTAGTGGTTGTAACAGAAATTGGGGGCCCGTCCTAAAAGAGTTTTTCCACAAAAACCAATTGCAGTTTTCCATTGCGTGTTACTGAAATAAAAACTCATGAAATTTGCTTTGTATATTTTTGTTTGGCTAGTGGTTTTCACTTTAAGGGGGAGCGAATTCGGTATGTCCTCAAAATTTGAGCTGGAAAATTTCGCAATTCAGCTTACTGCTGAACAATTGGATATTCATTCTTACTAATGCAAGCAATGATGCAAAGTGGGTGTTTTAAATGTAACCAGGTTGAAAAGTTGTTGTGTCACGCATAAGACTGTTTTTTTTTTACTCCCTGGTTTGAATGTACTGCACATAGAGCGTGTTTCATGTCTTTCTCATCTGTTGCCATAATGTTATGCTGGCCCTTTAAGAAACACGGCTGCAGGAGTGTCGTGAAGTGCCGCGAGAGCTGCGGATGAGCAGCGCGAGTTATCAGTGCGGGGTGAATGTTCCACGTGAAGTGGAGGATCGAGGTCATTAAAATCCATTAAATCACAAAATATAGAGAAATATGCACATACAGTGAGTTATAAACTCGTTCTCGGTGGTATGGTGACTCGGATGGCTGTGTAATTTTGCATATCAACAGCGATTGCTGACGAACATGTCCGTGTGGGGAAACTAACCGTTTCTCACCAAAGCGTAAGTGTTGATGATATAATTTGTATCAGTGTACTGTTAAAAAAACTTCATTTATGCATAATTTAATGCAAACCAGTGTTAGTGAAACAGTTATTTTGTTTAGAGGGGAGAAAAGTGCTCCATAGACCCTTTGTGTTTCCGGTGCGAGTGTAAAGCATTCAAGTGAGTGTTGTTCACTTTTATTGATTGTAAAAGTGTTTATCAGTGTTTAATTGGAACGAGTGTAATGGTATTATTGTTCTAACATCATGTGTTCCAAATGTTAAGGAAAAGGTTTGTATTTTGTCCCTTTATCATCTGCAGAGGGAAATCGAGTCAGCATAGGCCGTGTTAACGTGTACATGTGCTAGAGTGGTGATGAGCTGTAAGTTTGAATCATCAAATTCATTTTTGAAGTCCTATGAGTATTCATTTACTAATGTAAGGTTGACTGAGTGTTAGATTGTGCAATAGTGTTTGTAATGTATTAAGGATACCCAAAAATGCAACTTCTAATTTCCTTTCCATGTACTTTTTGTGTAATTTGAGTAGCCTTATTTGGTTTGACAACTTTGATTTGTTGACGGCTGTTACACTTGAGTCTATTTGTTTTCCAGCATGAAAGGCTACTACCGTTGTCTATGTTAGCTGGTTATTGTGAATGTGGGGAAAAAGAGGCACACTCATTTTGTTGTGAGATCAAACTTTATTGTTCTCAATGGCTGTATTTAAGTTGTAATTTTTCTGTCCAAATCCCCCAAATTTGCATACTTAATGCTGCGCTGTTCCAAGTGCGTTCTGGAATAAAAGGCCCCATTTAAATTTTTCATCCTGTGTCCGGTGTCACAAATTCATATCCCGGGCCACAGAGATTTTGGTACCAGGAGTGGGGTTTCCATTGCTAATTTTGGGACATTTTTGACAGTCAGGTAGAGTAAGAGGAACATAGACAACGGTAGTGGTGAAAAGAGGTCGAGTAACAGGGCCAAAGAGGTCGACGACGTGAAGTGTGGCGTGCCTCGAAAGCCTGCGGGGAAGCAAGGGACCAGCTTTCGGAAATGCAGGGGGGTGTTCACTTCACCGCTGAGATCGTTGGCAAAGGAGACTGTGAGGAATTGCCTCTTCAGGTTGCACTGCAGTGACTGTGACTGTGACTGTTTTATGACTGTGTGCCATTCAAGATAGAGACTTCATATGAACATGGATCAGGACGATGATGTGTCGGCTGCTCGGGCTGGAACCAGCCATGATGTAGATAGTGCTGGGGCTGCGAGTCATGGAGATGAAGGTAATCCGGTGGCAGAACTCCAATCACAAATATTGGAGCTAGGTCGAAGACACGACCAAGTAATGTCAACCCTTGCTAATATGAGTAATGTTGCCACTAGGTCGTATGTTTATATTCCAAGGGAGCGTCAAATTGTGCCCTTCAGTGGTGATTATGTTAAAGATGGTCAGTCTGTCAATGAGTTCATTGATGAGGTTGATCGTGTAATTCGGGTAAGGGGTTTGAACACTGATGACCAAGTTGATTTCATACTTTCGCATTTAAGAGGTTCAGCCCTAGACGAAGTCAAACTGCGTATGGGGGAAGAGACCAAACAACCCAGTGATCTGTTTTCATACTTGCGGGGGGCCTTTAGGGAGAAACGCACTACACCTTAGTTGTTGCATGCTTTTTATGCCCGCCGACAGTTAGAGGGAGAAGACTTCCGTGACTTTTCTCATGCTGTCTCTCAGCTGCTGAATTCTGCTCTCCAACAGTCCCACACTGCTGTGTCTGATCCCCAGCTCGCTTTAAGAGATCAGTTCATCGAAGGCATAAGAGACATGACTCTGCGTAGAGAGCTACGCAAGCTTGTCAGAGAAAAGCCTCAGTCCACCTTATTTGACGTCCACGAAGAGGCCATGATGTGGGTTGGGGAGGACAGACCCCGTGGTGCTAATGTGGCCAGGACTCGGAATATTGTGAGTACATGTTCTGGGGAGATGGCAGAGCTTTCCATTTCAGTCAGTTCTGCACAAAGTGACATAACGGTGGCCTTGCAGGAGGTAGTAAAAATTATCACTCAGCAGGGTAAAGCTATTGGAGAACTCACTAATGCCGTTCGTGAATCACTGTACAAAAGGCCCATTCCAGTGGTAGCCAGAGTGGAAAGCCCAAAGTCAAGCCCAAGTATACAGATGATGGCCAACACATCTGTTTAAGGTGTGAAGGGGTGGGGACATGTAGCTAGACAGTGTCCTGTACCACGTAGTTCCAAAAGCCAGTCCACTGCCTCCACAGGTTCTGTGGAGCAGGGAAACGGGGCCCCTCCATTGCTGTGAGCCGAGCAATGCGAGGAAAACCAGAAGGCTCAAGATGTAGTACATTACCAAAAGAACGTTTCCTGGAGCGTGCAGTTGGCAAGTGCCCTGAAGTTGATATTCACATTGGGGGTGTTCCAGTTAGATGTATGCTAGACACGGGAAGTAATGTGAGTACCCTAACTGAAAGTTTCTTCAGAGAAAACCTCCATGGAGAAGACAAGGACCTTCACTGCACCTCTAAGTGGCTAATAATTACTGCAGCAAACAAGCTACCACTGCCATACTTGGGCTATGTTGAATTGGACATCCAGGTGATGGGGCTAACTATACCTGAGTGTGGGTTTTTGATCGTCCGAGACGGAGACACTGCTGAGCCAGATCCAACGCCCCCTGGAATCATAGGCATGAATATCACCCAGAGATGCAGAGAGTTTGCACTGACTGAGTTTGACACGACTTTAGGAGGGAAGCTGGACTCTGTGTGGAGGGAAGCCTTCAGTCGTGTACAGGAAGTTGAGCTGGTAAAAACAATGTCGTCAGCCAGAGTTAGTGGTAAGGGCAAAACCCATATACCAGCGTCCTCTCTAGCCACAGTCTATGCCAGAGTAAACAAGAAGGCCACTGACACCAGTGAGTGGCTGCTGCTGGAACCAGGGAGTGCACCATTACCAGGCGGATTGATTCCCATGCCCACCTTAGTGTCGCCCCAAAGTCGAGTGTTTCCAGTTCAAGTGGTCAGCTTCTCCCAGGAAGATGTTTGGCTGCCTCCTACAGTTCGGCTTGGGATACTTACCCTGTAGCTAGACAGTGTCCTGCACCATGTAGTTCCAAAAGCCAGTCCACTGCCTCCACAGGTTCTGTGGAGCAGGGAAACAAGGCCCCTCCATTGCTGTAAGCCGAGCAATGCGAGGAAAACCAGAAGGCTTAAGATGGTAGTACATTAACAAAAGAACGTTTCCTGGAGAGTGCAGTTGGCAAGTGCCCTGAAGTTGATATTCACATTGGGGGTGTTCCAGTTAGATGTCTGCTAGACACAGGAAGTAATGTAAGTACCGTAACTGAAAGTTTCTTCAGAGAAAACCTCCATGGAGAAGACAAGGACCTTCACTGCACCTCTAAGTGGCTAAAAATTACTGCAGCAAACAAGCTACCACTGCCATACTTGGGCTATGTTGAATTGGACATCCAGGTGATGGGGTTAACTATACCTGAGTGTGGGTTTTTGATCATCCGAGACGGAGACACTGCTGAGCCAGATCCAACGCCCCCTGGAATCATAGGCATGAATATCACCCAGAGATGCAGAGAGTTTGCACTGACTGAGTTTGACACGACTTTAGGAGGGAAGCTGGACTCTGTGTGGAGGGAAGCCTTCAATCGTGTACAGGAAGTTGAGCTGGTAAAAACAATGTCGTCAGCCAGAGTTAGTGGTAAAGGCAAAACCCATATACCAGCATCCTCTCTAGCCACAGTCTATGCCAGAGTAAACAAGAAGGCCACTGACACCAGTGCGTGGCTGCTGCTGGAACCAGGGAGTGCACCATTACCAGGCGGATTGATTCCCATGCCCACCTTAGTGTCGCCCCAAAGACGAGTGTTTCCAGTTCAAGTGGTCAACGTCTCTCAGGAAGATGTTTGGCTGCCTCCTAAAGTTCGGCTTGGGATACTTACCCACTGTCAGTGTGCTGAAAGTGACGCTTGTGAGGTGAGATTCCAGCGCATCTCTGCTGACCATGAGGAGGTGAGAATCGACCAGAGAGACAAACCAATGTCTGATTCTGATCTAAGTAATCTGTTAAGTAGGCTGCATATAGGAGGTACTCCGGAACAGCAAGCAAAGCTTGGTGTACTATTAATGAAGCATGCAGATGTGTTCGCAGTTCGTGATGAAGACCTGGGATACACAGATCGGGTAAAGCATGAGATCCACTTGACAGATGATACTCCCATTTCTCAGCCATATCGCAGGATACCACCGACTCAGTTTGAGGAGGTCAAAGAGCATATCTCGGGTTTACTTCGGAAGGTGGTCATACAGGAAAGCTCAAGTTCCTTTGCATCACCCATCATTCTGGTGCGCAAGGCTGATGGAAGTCTGAGGCTGTGTGTGGATTATAAGAGACTAAACTCCAAGACTAAACATGATGCTTTTCCATTGCCGCGCATCGATGAGAGCTTGGATATGTTGGGTGGAGCGCAAGTATTCTCGACAGTAGATCTTGCTAGCGGTTACCATCAAGTTGCGGTCCATGAGAAGGACAGACCAAAAACAGCCTTCACTACACCGTTTGGCCTTTATGAATACTGGCGGATGCCCTTCGGGCTATGCAATGCACCCGCATCGTTCCAGCGGCTCATGCAGGCCATCATGAGTGATTTAGTTTTCCAAATTGTGCTCATCTACTTAGATGACTTGTTGGTGTACTCGTCCACCTTTCATGAACATCTGGTGCACCTTGAAACGGTGTTTAAGAGGTGCCAGTCCCTAGCACTCTCAAGGAACTCAGATCATTCTTGGGGTTCTGTAGTTATTACAGAAGATTAATCGAAGGGTTCTCCCAGATAGCCGGGCCGTTGCATGATGTAGTGAATGTGTGCCTCAGAGAGACAAGTCCCGTCAAGGCAGCTCAGGTGTTTAAGAGCTCTTGGTCTTCCCAGTGTCAGACGGCATTTGAACGTCTCAAAGACAAACTTACCAGTGCCCCAACACTGGGGTATGCTGATTTCACGCTTCCCTTTGTGATTGAAACTGATGCGAGCAACCTGGGGTTGGGAGCAGTCTTGTACCAGCATCAAAAGGGTAAGAAGACTGTGATCACATATGCCAGTAGGAGGTTGAGAGGGGCTGAGAAAAATGATCAAAATTACAGCAGCATGAAGCTGGAACTGTTAGCGCTTAAGTGGGCAGTCACTGAAAAGTTCCGAAGTTATCTGCTGGGGTCCAAATTCACCATCATAACAGACAATAACCCCCTCTGTCACCTCACGACTGCCAAATTAGGAGCCATTGAACAGCGTTGGGCTGCCCAACTTGCTGTTTTTGATTTTGAAGTCAAATACCGTCCTGGACGATGCAACACTGCTGCTGATGCGCTTTCCAGGATACCAGGATCCAGTTAACCAGACTCTGAGAGCGAAGACGCAGAGTATGATGGCTGCGTGGCGATCTGTAACTCGCTCAGGACAGGAGCCGCTCTGGGGCCAGACCTGTTAGCAGCTGGTGTGGAGTAAAGCAAAGTCAGACAGTTGCAGGCGTCCTTGGCTGGAGAAGATGATGTTGTGGGTGAGAATACTCCCACTTTGCCAGGGTATTCAAAGGCAGAACTTCGTCAGTTTCAGGAGTCGGATCCAACGCTCAGTGTGTTCAAGAAGTTCTGGAGTCGACAAAAGAAACCTACCAAGCCAGAGAGGTTAGGTTTGCCCAGATCCATGTGTTCCTTGTTGAAACAGTGGCCAAAGATCATAGAAAAAGATGGTCTCTTATACCGTGTAATCGAAGATGTCCATACTGGTTAATGTCACCAGCTGCTGTTGCCCACCTGCTTGACAGATCAAGTCCTGAAAAATACAGTGGGTGAAGCAATGTCAACACTGTGTGTTAGCAAAGATGCCGCAACCCAAGATTAAGGCACCTTGGGCTTCATTCTTGGCCTCCCGGCCACTGGAGGTTGTAGCAGTCGACTTTACAACCCTTGAACCAGCCACAGATGGGTGGGAAAATGTTCTAGTAGT